GGAGGCAGCCAATCGATGACGACTCTCTCGTCCTTGATGTTTCTATCTCTTCCTCTCCCTCTCCCTTCCTCTCTCAGAAATCAATAAAGATATATTAAAAATAAAAAATTTTAAACAAACAAACAAAAAATCAACAACAAAAAAATTCCTCCCAACAAAGAAAAGCCTAGGACCAGGTGATTTCACTGGTATATTCTACAAAATTTTAAAGAATTAACACTAATCCATTTCAAATTTTTCCAAAAAAAATTAAAGAGAAAAGAATACTTCCTAACTCATTCTGTGAGGCCAGCATTACCGTAATACCAAAACCAGACAAAGATATCACAAGAAAACTACAGACCAATATCCTTTATGAATAAAGATGCACAAATCCTCAACAAAAATACAAGCAAACCTAGTCTAGCATCATATTAAAAAGGATTATATGCCATGGTCAACTGGGATTTTTTCCAGAAACATAAGGTTGGCTCAACATAATAAAATCAATGTAATATACCACATGTACTAGGTTGAATTCCAAACCAAGTGATTTGTACATGGATTTGAAATTGGGGCTCTTGTTATAGTTACATAGAAGTTACTAAAAAAAAAAAAAAAAAAAAAAAATTCCATTCTGTGCAAGTGTAAAATAAGACCTTTTTATGCTAAAGGTTCACCATCCCAAATGAATACAAATATGAGCAATACAATATTTAGAATATTCTGACGCTGTTTAAAAGTAGTTGATGAAATATTAGTTGATAAAAACACTTTTTCAGTGTACTGTTAAAAATATCAGAAAAAGTTTTATTACTATATCAGCTCATAATGATTCAAAAATTCACTTGGTCTCAATCGCTTTCTCCATCAGTAGGCTTAGATATGGCACATTGTGACTGGGGTAGTTGGCCTGCTTTAAAAAAAAAAAAAAGGGTCCTTAAAGAAGTGGGTAATTTATGGTTAGTCTTTCACCAAATTAATGTGTAATTCTGCATTCTTTCCAGTAAGGCCACATGGAAATTATTTTCAACTAGGATGTTTCTTGTTCTGTATACTGTTTTTTAGGTGAATTATCAAGCTGGCCTTTGAATTTTGGAATAAGCTAGGGTAGAGAGATTCTTGTTTTCATAAAAATGGCTATTGTGGCCAACTGCTAGGATGTGAGTGACAGAGTAATACACTTAGGACCAATTTTGGCATCGGTCATCTCCAAGTTCCAGCAGCTCTGAGAGGGGAGCCAAAAGGCGGCCCAGACTACCCACACCCCTACATGGTTTGGTGGGAGGTGGGAACATGTCCTTTGCCATGGTGGGAGGTTAACAGAGAAGAGAAAGGAAGACCAGCTCATAGATGATTCCTTCATTCACAATGGGCACATCTCTGGGAGAGCCAAGACTGAAAGAGACAAAGGTCACCTGAACCTAGACTTTAGACTTCTATGTTACTCATTTTGCAAGTGAAGAAATGGATCCAGATGGATTTGCCCAAAGTCACTGCTGGCAACTGAGCCAGAACAAAGACCCAGGGCTCCTGACTTCCATCCAGTTCTTTCCTACCACACCATCCTGCTGTCAACAGGAGAAAGCACGTGAAATGGCACCTCATTCCAGTCCTTGAGCTTGTCAGCAAGCTAATGAAAATGAGACACTAATAATCTGGCAAAGACATTTTTAGTAATGTGTTCCACATTTTCTGCACCTTATGGAAGGTGTTTTTTGGGAAAAAACTATTAATAAAGAATTGTGAAAAAACTCTAGGACTTAGCTGTTATTTTTTCTAAATAGCAAAACACTATTTTTGGCAAGTAAACAATTCAGTTCACATTTCAGTGAAAGGAACATAGTTGGTGTACAGGGTAGGACCAGTTTATATACACATGCAAATAAACAAGCATCAACTATTTTTAAATGTACCTACTCTGTCCAATCATTAGATGATCCAAATTCTGATCTCAAAGGACAAAAGTAGGTTATTTCTATTTGCCACCCACTGAGTCCTTTTATGATTGTGCATTTTAGAGCACAATTATATAAAGCTTGTTCTCTTGTAGGATGAGATATAAAAATTCCAGGGAAGCTGAATGACATGACACACACCCTTTTAGTCAAATGGGTCTTAAGAGGGTCTATCATTTTATACTATATATGCATTCTCCAATCCTACAGCAGTCTGTTTTTGTTTCATCAAATTTGTGCTTATTTTTTTATGAAATAATTCTAACAGAGAAGAGTATAGGAATAATTGAGGTTTTAAAAAATAAAATAGTACAGATATAATTAAAAGCTATTTCACACTTCGTCATGATACCATTTTCTTTCCTAACCCTCCCCTGCAGGTTTTTAGACTATAACTGCATATATGTGAATTCCCACATGGTATTGTTCTTGAAGGTTTTCAAACTTTAAATAACATCCTTGTACTATTTGTTTACCCCACTCAATGTTTCTGAGGTTTATCCACACTGACTCATAAAACTCTATTAATTTTAACCCATTAATATATGCAGTTATATGACTGTCACATTTTTTATTTCTCTAGTTTCCTTTTGATGCCCATTTATGTGTTTTTTCCCCTCATTTTACACCATTCTAAACAATGTTGCAATGAACATTTTTGTACATGATTCCTTATGCACATGTGTAAGACTGTCTCTAAGCAATTACCTAGAATGAGATTTCAGGGTTGAAGGGTATGCACACTTTCAATTCTTAATTTTGCTAAACTGCTCTCCAAAGTTGTTGTACCAATTTACAGTGTATGAGTTCCCACAACCCTCCAACCTTACAAAAATTTGATATTGTTGGACTTAAACATTTTTGCCAATATGAAGAATGTGAAGTGATATGGCTATTTTAGCGGCCATTTCCATGATTATTAGTAAGGTGAGCATCTTCACCTATTTATTGGACAATTAGGTTTCCTCATCTGCAATTATCAACTTGTATCCTTTGCCCATTTTTCTACTGAATTGTTTGTCTTTTTCTTAATGATTTATAAGTTATATGTATCATATTCTATCCTGTGTTTTCACTTGGCTTATGATGTCTTTTTCAGCAGAAGTATTAAATTTTAATGTGGTCAAATTTATTAACATTTTTCTATTATGTTTTATGATTTTTAATTCTCTTTAAAGAATTCTTCTCACCCTAAAATCATAAAGACAGTCTCCTATTTTCTCTTCTAAAAGTTAAAAAAAATTTGCTTTTCAAGTGTAAATCTTTACCTAGAATTTACTTCTAAGTATAATGGGAGACAGAGCTTTCTTTATGGACAATCCTTTACCTTAGAACCATTTATTGAATAGTTAATCCTTTCTTCACTTATTTTTACAATCTTTCCACTATCAAATATCAGGTTTGATATTTACTAAGGTTTATTTATGGGTCCATTACTCTGTTTTGTTGTCCTATTTGTCTATCTCTGTGCCAATACAATACTGTCTTCATTTATTACAAGTTCATAGTAAGTTTTTTGTTATTGTTGGCCATTTTAGCTTTTATTTTTTAAAATAATTTATTTTTCAATTACGGTAATTTAGAATATTATATTAGTTTCAGGTGTACAACATAGTGACTAGACATTTACAAAGTGATTACCCCAATAAGTCTAGTACTCATCTGACACCAAACATAGTTACTGCAATATTGACTATGTTCTTAATATTGTACTTTACATACCTGTGACTGTTTTTATAACTGAATTTTTTCACACCTTATTCTCTTCCTCTTTTTCACTTATCCCTCCCATTTGGCAACCATCAAAATGTTTTCTGTATCTGTGAGTTTATTTCTGTTTTGTTTGTTCATTTATTTTGGTTTTTCTGATTCCACAAATAAGTGAAATTAGATAGCATTTGTCTTTAGCTTAATACCCTCTAGGTCCATCCATGTGGTTGCAGATGGCAAGATTTCAATCTTTTTGTGGCTAAGTAATATTCCATTGTATATAGACTACTTCTTTATCCATTCATCTATCGATGGACACTTAGGCTGCTTCTATATCTTGGCTATTGTAAATAATGCTGCAATGAACATAAGGATGCTTATGAATTTTTGAATTACTGTTTGGGGTTTCTTCAGAAAAATACCAAGAAGTGGAATTGCTGGGTCCTTCTTTGTCTCTTGTTATAGCCTTTGTTAAAAATTATTTATTGATTGGTTATTAGATGGAGAGAGGGGAAGGAGAGAGAGAAAGAGAGAGAGATATCAATTTGTTGTCCCACTTATTTATGTATTCATTGGTTGATACCTGTATGTGCTCTGACCAGGGATTGAACCCACAACCTTGGTGTATGGGGACAACGCTCTAACCAACTGAGTTACCTGCCCAGGGCCTACCCTTTGTATTAAAGTCTATTTTATCTGATATAAATGTTGCTATCCAGCTTTTTTTGTTTTGCCTCCATTTTCATGAAATATCTTTTTCTATTCCTTTACTTTCAGTGTCTGTGTGTCTTTTGATTTGAAGTGGGTCTCTTGTAGGCAGCATACATCTGGGTCTTATTTTCTTATCCATTCAGACACCCTATGTCTTTTGATTGGAGTATTTAATCTATTTACATTTAAAGTTATTATAGATTTAGGTATGTAGTTGTTGCCATTTTATTATTCATATTTTTAAAATCTTTTTCTTCTTAAAGAAGTCCCTTTAACATTTCTGGTAATACTGGTTTGGTGGTGACAAACTCCTTTAGCTTTTTCTTTCTTTTTTTTTTTATTTTTTTTTTATTTGATGAGAGAGTCATTGATCAAGCCCACAACCCGGGCACGTGCCCTGACCGGGAATGGAACCCCGATCGCCTGGATCCTAGGTCGACGCTCAACCGCTGAGCCATGCCCGGCCGGGCTCCTTTAGCTTTTTCTTGTCTGGGAAGCTCTTTACCTGACCTTCAATTCTAAATGATAGCTTTGCTGGGTAGAGTAATTGTGGTTGTAGGTCTTTGCTTTTCATGACTTCGAATATTTTGTGCCAATCCCTTCTAGCCTGCAAAGTTTCTGTTGAGAAATCAGCTGACAGTCTTATGGGAGCTCCACTGTATGTCACTAACTGCATTTCTCTTCCTGCTTTTATGATTCTTTCTTTGTGTTCAACCTTTGGCATTTTAATTATGATGTGTCTTCGTGGGGGCTTCTTTGGGTTCATCTTGTTTGGGACTCTTTGCTCTTCCTGGACTTATGTGTCTATTTACTTTGCCAGGTTAGGGGAAATTTTCCATCATCATTTCTTCAAGTAGGTTCTTAATCCCTTGCTCTCTCGCTTCTCTTTCTGGTACCCCTATGATGCAAATATTGGTATGCTTGATGGTGTCGCCAGAGGTCCCTTAAACTATCCTCATATCTTTGGGTTCTTTCTTCTTTTTGCTGTTCTGATTGGGTATTTTCTGCTTCCTTGCCTTTCAAATTGCTGATTCAATCCACTGTTTCATCTAATCTACTATTGATTCCTTCTAATGTATTCTTCATTTCTGAATGGTTCATTTTCATGTTTTCTATCTCTTTGTTAAAGTTCTCATTGATTCCCTCTACTCTTCCCCTATGTTCATTGAGCATCCTTATAACCAGTGTTTTGAACTCTGCATCTGGTAGATTGCTTGTGTCCATCTTGTTTAGTTGTTTTTCTGGAGTTTTGTTCTGTTCTTTCATTTGGCACATGTTTCTTTGTCTCCTCATTTTGGTTGCCTCCCTGTTTTTTTTCCTATGTATTAAGTAGAGCTATCTCCTAGTCTTGGTAGAGTGGCCTTATGTAGTAGGTATCCTGTGGGGCCTGTGTTGCAACCTCCCTGTTCACGTGAGCCAGGTACTCCAGGTTCTTTCCTGTGTGAGTTGTGTGTGTGCCCTCCTGTTGTTGTTGAGCCTTGATTGCTATTGACATGCCAATGAGAGACACTGACCCTCAGGACTGACCATGACTACACTGGCGGAGCTGTTGTGCAGGGGCTGACCCTGCAGAGGATTCCCTTTAACAGGGCTCTGATACCAGCTGAATCCACCCTCGGGTGTGTTGTTTGTGGAGGTGGTTGGGTGGTGCTCTGGTGTGGTCTGAAGCTGGCCGCTGGGTGTGCTTGTTCTGGGATCTCTTAGGAAGGGGTCAGGTGTAGTAAGCCACTGCCTGTGCCANGCCAAAGTAAGCCACTGCCTGTGCCATGCCCAGAGCCACTTAATATGAGCTACAGAGTGATCTTCAGATGGTTGCTGCTTGTGCTGGGCTTGGAGGTCACTGAGAGAGGTTAAGCTGTGAATTGAGGCCAGCTGCCACTAATGCATGGCTTGGGGCTGCTTAGTAAGAAGTAAGGAGCACACTGAGACCAGATACTGCTTGTTTGGGGTTTGTGGACCTTTGAGAGAATTTAGTAAAGTCCGAAGCATGAGCCATGGCAGGCTGTTTTATAGAAAAGCCACTGAAGTGGCTTGAGTGGGCCTGCAAGTTGGGTGGGGCAGGGAATCACCAGAGTGGGGCAAAAGGTTTTAGCCAGGTTGATGGAGACTCAGACTTGGTACCGGCCTGAGCCTGAAGGCTCAACAAAGGACCAATGGCTTCTGCCAGCACATCTGTCTGAAAGAAAGCTGCCCCTCCAGTCCTCACACTGAGCCAGAAAATTAAGTTCTTCCTGTATGTCCCTGGTGCTTTAATTTTGGATTTAAATTGTTCTATTGACTTTTTGGACAATGAAGATTTGGTGGCTGAAAAATGGATTAAACTTTTTTTGTTACCTCTCAAAGCAACAATAACATACCTTATAAACTGCCATGTTTACATCTATAGACTGATGAATTTAATTAATGAGTATATATTATAAAGAATTTAAAAAGCCTAGAATTCTCTGAACCCTTAATTCTACTCTAGATATATATCCTAAGAAAATAATACTAAATATGTAAAAAAACCAACCTTAGCTGGATACATAAAATACTCATTGCAATGTTACCCACTGTAGGGAGAAATGGAAATAACCTAAATATAAATGACACAAGAATATTTAAGTAAATTAGAATAAATATACCAAATGATAAACTATGATGTCAATAAAACTACTGGCTCTAAAAATGATGTATAATGACAATGAATTAATGTTTACTGATGGTATAGCATTCAGTGATAAAATCAGGGTATCATTTTTGTATATAATGTGAACACAGCTGGAGCAAAAAAACCTTCTAATATGTGCACAGGAAAATAAAATTTACTAAAATCTTTACAATAGTTAGTAAGAATATGGGATTATAGACTTGATTTTTCTCCCCAACCCTAATCTACAAAAATCTATTGTCTAAAGTTTCTAGGAGGTCATTTTATTACTCACACTAAAAAAAAAGTATTAGGAAGAGATAGCAGGTATTTCAGGGGCTAGTTTTCTTTCACAGGAAAATGCATTTACAAAAATATTTCTGAATAAGTAATAAAAGTGAGTAGTACCCAAGTATTTCTTCAGTGCTTCATTTAAGGTTCAAAGAAACACTTTAAGGCAGAGAGCAAAGCATTCAAGTTCTCACACTCAGGATTTGGGTTCTAGCTTAGTCACTGATTATTTTAGTAACTTTTGGGGAACAGTATCCACCTATTTTCTCAGTGAAAAAAAGAAAAAAAGAAAATATTTAGAGGTAGGGATTAGTTAGAAAACCTTTTAGAAAGAAATGGGCATTCATTAAAATAACTCTAAAATTTCACCTAAGTCATGCAAAACAAAAGACTGCCTATTTAATTTTCTTTCCAAATTTAAAGGAGAATAAAAAGTAGGGTGTTTGCCACTTGAAGCTGGAAAACAAATGCCCACTTTATTTCTGTAGCTTACACTTTACCTTAAAGACATGAAAGGCTTCAAACTGAATGTTGGGACTTTTATCTCGAAGGAGGTTCATCATCAGTTTGAGGTTCTCTGGCTTGCTGACATACTTCGTCATAATGGCAAAGTTGTGTCTGTCCAAAATCAGTTCACCCAGCAGCTATAAAAGAACAAGACAAAAAATCAATTTTATAATCTGAGAGCCATCTTATTCAAAATATACCTCACTTCTCACTGAAAAACAAAATATAAATGTGAGTTTAGAATGATGACATGAAAAAAATTGAGAGTACTTAAGTACATCAGCACAGGCATGAAAGCAGTAGTTATTAAGTTAATTTAAGCTTCTTATAGTTTTGTTAAAGTGAGTACTTAATGCATTTCTAAATCTATTTTTTAAGCCAATCATTGCTGCAGATTAAAAAAGCTCTCTCTGTAGCTCTCATCCACAGCTAGCCAGAAACTAATTTATTATTTTCACTGACTAAATTATCTTGAGGTAGGATAAGAATAATAAAATTGACTCTACAATTATAGGTCCCTTACCTAAATTAATGTACTCTCTAGTAGCTTACTGGGGGAAAACAGGGGAAAAATAAAAGTCACTTTACATAACCTAATTTTTATTACAAAACTTGATTTATAATCAGAAAAATACCATGACTCTGAATCCAAGTGAAGTTTAACATGTACAGCACATTTTTATAAAAATGTAAAGCTAAACATTTTTTAGTGACAAATTAATAGTTCCCAAAATGCAGTATTACCCCGTGTTATAAATTGAATGCTTGGGTCCCCTCCAAAATCTACATGTTGAAATCCTAACCCCAATGTGATGGTATTAAAAGAAGGGGTCTTTAAGAGGTTAGGACATGAGGGTGAAGTCATCATGAGTGGAACTGGTGCTCTAATGAAAGAGACCCCAGAGAGCTCTCTTACTGCTGGCATCTTAATCTTGAACTTCCCAGCCTCCAGAACTATGAGAAACAAATATTTCTTATTTAAGCCACCTAGTCTATGGTATTGTGTTATAGCAGCTAGAACAGACTAAGACACTTTAAAACAAAATAAAAATACTAAAAGTAAGAATAGTTGAATGTGCTGCTGCTTCATCTCATAAATTTGTATTCTCACTGTAGTGGTAGCAATTCCTAAAGCTCTGGCAACCAGGCAGGTGAAATGTACCCTTCACATAATCTTATATGTGATATATTTATTTTCCAATTCTCCTATTTACTGGAATTTTTCTGGATGCCCCAGATTAGTAATACATTGCACATGTGTTTCCAGAAGTTCTGGATGGAAGGAGAAAGCACATGAAACTGAGGATTAGCCGTCTATAACAATGCAGTCTAACAACAGAACCCCAGGTGTGTATGCAGGGGGGTTGTGTGTGTGTGTCTGGCTGCCAGTGAACAACAGCTTTGCCTGTGACGCATCTTTTGTCTATTTAACAAATGAGAAATACACACCTTTAAGTTATTTCAGTGCACAAAAATAATGTTTGTTAAACATAGAAAATGATGAGCACTGTTTGTGTGTTAGAAGGTCACCAGTTAGTCATATACACACGGAACGGCAATCATGTAAATCTTTGATCTTCATCTTCCTTAATCTCTTTGCAGCATCTAAAGCTAACTGAACATTCTTCTGGAAACTTTCTTTGCTTTTGGTTTCAAGGCCATTTCATTCTTCTGGTTTCTTAACCCTTTTAGTGTATTCCTTTGCTGCCTCTGTTACCGACTCCCCTTCCTTCTGCACTACATATGCAGGAATCTTGTCCAATCTAAGCCCGTGGCTTCAACTATAACACCTGGGAAGGTGTCTCTCAAATCTACATTTCTAGTCTCAATTTCTTTCCTAAATTCCATACCCACATTCCTAACTGCCACCAGGCAGGCCCAGCCAAACAGTTTTCTGGCCTATCACACTCAATGTCTCTAAAACCAATTCTCTCTTTTCTCTTTGTTAATGACATCAGATCTGCCAGTTCCTTATGGCAGAGTGTTGAAATTTACCTCAGCTCCTTTCTTTCCCTTGCTCCTCACATCAAATCTCCATCCAAGATCTGCCAGTTTTCTAAGGGCCTCAAACATCTTTCATTCCATTTTTACTGCCAGTACCCTCATTCAAACCCTCAATGCCTTTCATCTGGATGACTGCAAATGGCAGCATGCAAATGGTCTTTTCTGCAGTCTTCACCCAATCCAATCCATTCTGCATGTTATGTCAAAGAGATCTTCCTGAAGATCAGCCTTATTCATGTTACTAATTCCACTTATAAAGTGAACGAACAAACAAACGTCTAGATTCCTGTGGCTGGCACTGAAAGCCCTCTGTGATCTGAAGTCATTCCTACTGCTTCCTCTCCTCAGCTCCCTCACTTAGTCTTCCTTATTCTCCTGACTCTATGCCTTATTTCCCTTGCTCCATGCCCCCAACCCCCAGCTTTATTTAGATATAACTGACAAAATAGTATACATTTAAAGTGTATATCAGGATGATTTCATTTACGGATACACTGTGAAATACTGACCATGGTCATGTTAATATACCCACCACCTCAGAGTTATCCCTTTTTTCCAGTGTATGGGGAGAATGCTTAAGATCTACTCTCAACAACTTTCAAGTATACAGTACAGTATTGTTAACTATAATCACCATGCCGTACATTAGATCCCCAAACCTTATTTATCTTTCAGCTGAAAGTTTATACCCATTGATCAGTATCTTCCCATTTCCCCTACCCTCCAGCCCATGGTAACCACCATTCTACCTTCTGTTTCTATGAGTTTGACTTTCTCACACGCTGAATCTCCTCTATCACCTTTATGCTCTTTGTTTTTCCCAGCTGTACTCACACTGCCTTGCAGTACAGAGTTACTTGTGAGCCTCTTTAGAATGTAAGCTCCACGAGGGCATGTATGAAACCTTGTTTGTGTTTGTTCCCTTCACAGCTTGGGTGATGAACGTGGATAGTGTTGGGGAAATAAAGTTCTATTACCACAGAATCTTCTCAACAAAATTTAGAAAGAAAGCAGTTTAATTACTCAATAAGCATATCCAAAGCAAAACACTGTAGGTAATCATGAAAAAGACAGATAAAAACCTACCTTATTTACACAGCCAAGGAGCTACAATTGTTAAATACATATATCCTCAATATAAAAGGTAAACTGCCCTGCTGTGAGAGGACTTGACAGCATTATTTGCTGTGCACTCTTTCATAGTTCACCCTAAATTCACCTGGCCATTGAGGTAGCTCTTTGTTTTAGCTAATTGCCTTTATCCAACAAATAAAGAGCATAATAAAACCTTTCTTACCTCTCTAACAAAAAATGTATACAGTTTGGAGAGAAGCACCCAGGTTAAACTCCCCTGGTGACAGGGAGATAGGTGCGCTAACTCTTTAGATGTTTACAGTTCAATAAGATGGTTCCCAGACGCTCAAAAAAACAAAACAAATAAACAAAACAAAACAAAACAAAACAAAAGCAACCAACCACTTCTGGGTTATAAAGCTGACAAGAGGCTTCTAAGTTATATACATGTATATGTGTATATATATCTTTATAAAATGTATGTATATAAGATGTGTGTGTAGGGGTATATATATATACACACAGGGCTTTTTTATAGGGCTGTCTATATAGACATATCTTGTATACAGATATATATCTAAAAATACATTTCTATAAAAATACATAATCAAATATAATCTATATCACATATTAAAATACATATACATCATATGCACATACACATATCAAAAGGTCTTTGAGCAACAAAGAAATTAAAAAAACTAACCCTTGCCCTGTTGTGGTTGGGTGGTTAGAGCATCGGCCTGTGCACAGAAGGGTCACAGGTTTGATTCCTGGTCAAGGGCACATACCTGAGTTGCAAGTTCGCACCAACAGATGAGTCTCTCTCACATCCATGTTACTCTCTCTCTCTTCCCCCATCCCTCCCTTCTGCTCTCAATGGAAAAAATATCCTCGGCTGAGGACTGACAAAAAACAAACAAAATAACCCTTAAAATTTGCACACACACATTCAATAAACATTTGCTGACACGATGTTTATGAGTTAAATTCAGATTAAATCACTTCAGTTTTTATTACACGGGGATGTCCATCCTTTGCTAATATAATTTCACTACGTTTTTGAAACAATTGTGTTAAATCATTTGGCTAACAACACTGAATCTTTTAGCCATTAAGTGTTAATCTATTTTAATTAATACCAACAGTGACAAAATACTACATTTCATTATAATACAAAGTATTCTAAAGCAATGCTGTACTAAGTAAATGGAAAAAGTTATATTTTTACTTCCTTAAATTTTATTTTACAGGCTTCATATTATACAGTAAAACCATGCACATCAAGTAGATGTAAATTTTTTTTTTTAAACCTTAGGGTTTTAATGAAACTAACCGGAGTCCAAACCCCTCCCAAATTCCACCAAGGTTCTTTTGAATTATAATCTTTCTTGCTAGTAATTAAATGTCAGGTCCCTGAAGAAAATAAGAAACATTTCTAAGCTCTGTCACATGAGGGAAAAGAATTTCTCTGTTAATTATTTTTTATTGACACTAGTAACCTAAGCTCCCTAAAATAGTTTAGGAAAATTTAGAACATGATTAACAAAAGGCAGGAGAGGCAGCAACTACTTTGGAATCAGAAAATAGCTTAGTGTGAGGAATGTAAGTGACTCCATCTTAAAGCTAACCCACTGTCTTGATATCTGGGTGGTCCCAGGCCCCGTTAACCTCCTTCGCTTCCCTGTGGAGGCTCTGGAATAGGTACCAGAGCTCAGGGCTGTTCACAGGACTCACATCAATTCTCTGTCCAGGTTGAGGTGCTCTCCATGTTTCTTTTACTAGTCCGCGCACCAAAGCCTCTGGGCACCTGATCTCTTTGCTCATCCACGCATTCTCACTGCTTTTAGCTATAACATACAGAGTCTGGGGGTGGGGTGGGGTGGGGGTGGAGTGGAAGGCATGGGATCCATTTGTGTCGCTGCTGCCGGAGGCCGCTTTCTTTAAGTTCGCTTTATAACTGACAGCTGGCCTTGGCCTCGTGTTTTGGCACGTTGGCTCCTTCTAGCATTTGGGAGCTGCTTTCATACACTGCCCTTTCATGAAACACCTAGCTTTAATATAGTCTATTACTTGAAGAAATATTACAGAATCCAGAGACATAAACAAGGTTATGCTAAAATAGAACATACCGCTGCTACCCACACATCTAATTTCCAAAAGGAAAAACCAACAGCGCACAAGCAGAGCTCTTCAAAACAATGCTTTTCTGTTGAAGAAAACAATAAACAGTATTTAATGAGCTCTTTCCTTGAATAGAGTGATACAAGACCATTTTAGCAAGTCTCTGCCTATAATGTGGCATTCAAAAAAGCCAACTCTTCAGTAATCATTTTAACAATTTCTGCATTATCTGCCTTTTACTAGCCCTGCCCCCCATCCAACCAGTGTTTGGTTTTATCATATTGTACATCAAATATTTTCAAGACACTTAACTGTAAAGGATTTTAGGCAGGAATAGCAACCAGTGTAGTAAGTCTGGGTGGATTAGTAAAGAATAAGAAAGAGGCCTTATGAGTAGGCTGAGGCATCTGTAAATCAATAGGAAACAATCAGTTTGAAAGAGGGGAGTTTCAATACCAGATACCAAAACTCAGCTGCTTCTGGCCACAGCCGGCGTCACTGGGAGCAGTGCAGAGGTCTCTAACTGGAGAACCACGTGAAGAGGGCGGCTGGGTAGGGGAGAGCCCGGTGACAGCAAACAGCAGTGAGGAATGAATCTTCCTCGCTTCCCTTTGCTACCCACCAAATTTGTATGACCTACTGTACCAATCACACACCCACTGTATTAACAGGCTTCTATTTTTAAATGCAAATGCATCCTGGTAAGAATAAGTCTAATTCACACCCTGGTCCCAATTATTTATTTAGAATTGATCAACACAGTCCAGAGACTGAACTCTGGGGATAATAATGATGAATATTTACTTATAAAATTTCTTTTTATTTTATTCAACAAACATATCTATTTCCTACCATGGGTTAAGCTCTGCTCTAACCACTTTACAAATATTAACAAGGGAACAGGACAAGGTGGGGCTGAAGACATCTTGAGAAGAGAATGAGGTAGCAGGCACCTGGGTAGGAGGAGATGATAGGAGAGTGGGGAAGGAGACGCAGGAAGGAGGTCCAGAAGGGGGATGTTTAAATAAAAAACCGCCAGCTTTATCACTCTGTCTAAGACCCTACCTAGCTAAAGATAAATTTCTGTCACCAGTTCTTGTCACTGCTGAAAATGGAATAGGGATAATTCTAAAGTCTTTGTCCCTCAGCTTTTAGATCCCAATTACATTGTCACCTTAGTTCATAACAAACGTCTCTACTTTGGCCCAGATTCCCACTGAAAAGAGTAAAGATTTGAAAATTTATGAGCAATTTCCTATGTTTTGGCCCTTCAGACCAATGTCACCTCTGTTTACTGTTTCAATTTCCACTTCCCTCCCAGGGAGACTATGTCTTGTGATATGGACAAGTTCTGTGTTTTGGCTGTTCTTGTGGAACCCCTTGCAAATAAGAAATTCTGTTCCGTAGGTACATGGCTGTAGCAATAGGATGTATCTATATCTTCAACTGCTTTTAACAAGCTTTCTGGACATGGGAGAGCACGGCATTAACGTCATTGCCTTTGCCTAGAGCTTGGTCTCATCATGCCGAGCTCCAGCAAGGAAAGCAGCATGGTATTTTTCCTACATGGATCACCTTGTCTGGGTTTTCACTCAAAGGGAAATCAATAAAGAGTGCTGAGTGACTGGCTGAAAACAGTACACTGACCTCTCCTCCATGGATGAAGCTGGAGCAGTGAGGGCACAAATAGAAGGGAAAGCAGGTCACGGCCGATGCAAAATCATGGGTAAAGTGAATTTATAAAAATGTGGTATGAAATAGATTTAATTTATGGCTTTAGCTTAAAGCTATACAATATTTAGAAACAAATGCATTGTTCTATGAATGTCATCCAAACATAAAAATGAGTGATACTTAGTAAGCTCAAACATCATACAAATTGCTTGACAAAAAACAGCCAAGTATTATCTGCCAAAAACATTCGTTTGAATACAGTAAAACCTCAATATAACAGACTAATTCAGGTGAGGGGGTGTACGTTAAAACTGAAAGTCTATTATATAATAAAGTAGGTTTTCTGAATGCATATGCTAACAAACTGACAAATTAGCTTACCTGTTTTTATTTAATGTAGACACATTTATATAATTAAAATTAAGTATGTATGAAAAGTTTAATTTCACAGAAAAATTTTCTATATGTATTAGTGTAATTTTAAATTTATACCAAATAGGTCTAGTAAATGTGCGCATTTACCAGTCACCACAAGTAAACAGATGCACACAGCTGGAACATGGCTTAGTGCACGTGGGAACATCAGCAGGCAGGCATTAAAACCGCTGAAGAGCCCGGCCGGGCGTGGCTCACCAGTTGAGCATCGACCTAGGATCCAGGAGATTGTGGTTTGATTCTCGGTCAGGGCACATGCCCCGGCTGTGGGCTCGATCCCCAGTTGGGGGTGTGCAGGAAGCAGCTGATCAATGACGACTCTCTCATCATTAATGTTTCTCTCTCTCTCCTCCCTTCCTTCCTCTCTCTGAAATCAATAAAGATATATTAAAAAAACAACAGCCAACCAACCAACAAAACTGCTGCAGAAAGTCATGCCAGGTGACAACAGAACCAATTAGCACATGCTATTCGGTATGATCACGTGCTAATCATTCGCCAAACACTGTTTACAAGTGGTGACTCTTGGATTTAAATATGTAGACTGTAACTGTAGATATGTAATATAGTATATATATATATTTTTTCATTGCTTTTCAGAGAGAGAGCAGAAGGGAGAAAGGGAGGGAGAGAGAAAGAGAGAGAGACAGAAAGAGAAACAGTGATGTGAAAGAGATACATAGATTGGTTGTCTCTCACAGGCGCCCTGACTGGGGGTGGGGAGGGGAACTGAAACCTAGGTTGGAGCCTTTGACCAAGAATCGAACCCTGGGCCCTTCGGTGTGCCAGCAGGCTGACACTCTAATCACTGAGCAAAAATAGGGTGATATGTAATATTTATTTATGTCAGCAAAATTACTAGTATTTTTCCCCAATATATGGTTTATTTGTTAAAATTTGTTAAAAATAACAATGAATGAATAACAAAAAAAGAGAACCCATTAATTTAATTATAAACAAATCTTGGTTAAAAGCATTTTAAAATTAACAGAGTGTTAATTTTCACATGATATATGGACCGGAAATTGTGTCCATTAAATCTGAAGTCCGTTAAATTGAGGTCTGTGAAATCAAGGGTTTACTTTATCTGAGTAGAATCTGAAAGGCAGAGATGCAGCTCTAGCCCCATTCTCTCAAGAGCTGTCCCTCCTGGACAAATGGCTGCTTCCAGGTACTTTTCACTGAGGGAGGGAAGACCACTCACAGAGAGATGTAGCCCTGCTCTGCTGGGCTCCCAGTATGATGAGAGAGTGGCATTTTCGCAGGAATTTCATAGGAGATATAATCTCAAATTGTAGATGCTGTGTGGTCATACACACACACACACACCCTTTTTGTGTATTAGCACATACTTATTATTTATGTTGTTACTTCTAAAAAGTAGTTGAGGTAGGACGCTTACATTATTTTGCTACAAAGTATAGTTGTAACAAAACATTTCTCAAATTCCAAAAAAGTATACTTAAATTTTTCTGTATTTACTTGCTTACTAATCATTTACTAACAAGATATCAATTTATGGAGACTCTAAATTAAATCTGATATTACCTTTATAGATTGTCTCTTAGTCACATAATTCTCAGACTGAAGCAATTTCTCATAGTCTTCAAAAATCTAGTGAAAAGAAAATAAACATTAGAGTGTAAAGCCAGCAGTTATTTCTCTGCATTAGGTTTGCTTGCTTTCTTCCTTCAGAAGTAAATCCCCAGCCCTTGAGCCCAGCACAGCCCAGCTACATGCTTTCTACCTCTGTGTACTTAACCCCAGACTGATCACCACTGTCCACTGGGAGGTTTCCCCTTTCACCATCCTCATTTACATACAAAGACACCAAGAGATAGGGAGGTCAAGTGATACAAAAAACATAATTCTCTATTTTATTTCAGTTCTGCAAATTAGAAATAGAGTAGAAAAATGTAGTAATTGAGTACTATAATAAATCATTTTGAATAAAACACCTATTGAGTTGCAAGACAACTCATTTTATACTACATTAAATAAATCTGTTTATGTAGACTTGCTGGTAGCTATTAGTCTATGAATAATTTGAGAAAGCTTAAATACATTGAGGGTTTCACCTGGCAACTCATAAATAATCAAATTGTCAGATTCATAGCATGAACAGGTAGAAGAATAGGGTTACTGTTGCTGCAAGATGGCAATGCTAATCCCAACTAGCCTCTCTGGAGCACTTCTACTCTCCCCAGAGGCTGGGGGACACTGGTGCTTGGGGCTCATTTCCTAATATGGCTGATCATCAATCATTACTTAGGCCCTTCAGTTCAACTCAGGGAGCGAGCAGCCAGGAAGCTCAGCGTCAACCTCCCACCATCTGTACACACACTCAGAGATTACTAGGGTGGAAGGAGCAAGGCCAGTAGAGAACTGAAAGCTGGAGTGTCCAAGGGCTGAAGAAGGTACAAAACAGTCCCAGTACTCAAAGGGCCAAGTGTGAGGGAGGTGTGTGTACACGTGTGTGATGAGGGCAAGCTGTGCACACCGTTGGTAATTACTGAGAGAGAATTAAGAAAGTGAAAGTATAAACAGAGTGTAGCTCACATTAGTCACAGTAACTACACACTGTTATATGAAGGATTTATTATTCTGTCACAAAACATGAGGATATTGTGGGTCATTAAATTTATTGGACAAACTTTGTGTTAAGTTTTAATTGCAACTATAAAATGCAAATATATGTATAAGGTATGATTTGACTTCCCAAGCTAACAGTTTCATTATTTTAGAGTCATATATCATGTGCTCCAGTTTAGCTGTTTATTGCTAATATATATAAAAACTCAAGAAGTATGAAATGTTTGAGGGAACATACATTCTCAGAGCCAGTGTTCAGGCCAGTACAGGTGGCTCAGTGTCTGCGAAACTACTAAATTACACAAGAAGTGACTACAGACAAAATTAGATAAATAAGGGGTCAAAGAGAATGAGATCATGGTCTCTCAAACTGTTGTGTATTATCCCTGACTTCAAAGTATTATTGCACATTTACTTCACTCATTCTATAGAAAAGATTAGCAGTTGATACTACAGGTTTTGTCATAAGCTATCTTAGACCTCTTTTATTTTCACTTATTATAAATGTAACATCTAATGAGTCTTTCTTCAGCATTCCATCTAGCATCTATAATTACCAAACAACCAAACTATAAATCAGTTCATTTCCTAGATTAAAAATACGCCATTTTCTTTTAGTCTTGAAGCTTTTGGATGCCACTGGCAATAAGAATTATTCTCCCTTTATGTTTTACATTTAGACCAAAGTATCCAATTGATGTCATGAATATTTTCTCGATAATTTTAGGATATTAATTTCATGATTATACTGCTTATTCTTAATCTTAAAGGGAGACTAGTGAATAATTTGTGAATCAAGAGACATGGTTTAATGTCTGTGATTTGGATGTGTGAAGTATAGGATACTGACAGGCAGGGTAGTCCATATCCTCCCAGAGTCATGTTTCCTCTTACCTTTTTCTGTGGCTAACTAGAAATGCTTAAATACATGGTGGCTTGCATTATATTTCACTGAAGAGCACTGGTTTAGATCATCTGAACCAATACTGAAACAAGTCTTATAAAATTTCACTTCTAGGTTTGTGATATGTTCTACTTTAATCATGCTGTCTCTGTTGCTTATATATTTAGCAAAAGCATAGCTGCTCTAGGATGGATCTGTTCATTCAATACTCATTGAATACAACCAAATGTATGGCACTAAGTTAGATATTAGGGATACAAGTAATAATGATAAAAATTAATACTGAGCCTTGCCATGGTACTATCCTAAAAACTTTAAATCTTGTCAAATTCCTACCACAATCCCGTGAGGTAGGGATTAACATCTTTATTTTGAAGTAGGTACAGTAACTTGCCCAGGGTGATGCAGTCAGTAAGAGGGAGAGCTGGGTCTTGAAGCCAAACAAGTGGACTCAAAAGTCTATACTGTATTCTGAACCCCTGAGTTCAACAGATAAGGTTCTGCCTCTTGGAGAGCTCAAGGACAGGCCAGTCAGATCCAGACACACCATAATAATACAATGTAAAAAATGAGAGATGGGCTGGTGAGGGAGCCAAGGGGTGTGTGTGGGTGTGTGTGTGTGTGAGTGTATGTGTGTGTGTAAGGTTGTGATTAGGAAAAGCTTCCTAGAATTGTCACATTTCATCCAAATTGCAAAAGGATGAGCTGGATTCACCATTAGAGAAGGGAGCTAGAAACAGAAATATTTTGGTATTTCTACTAGTAGGTAAAACTAATTATCAACCAGGTAAAATGATTTATCTTAGTAAGGGTGGGGTGTTCTTCCATTTGGAAGAGCTATCTACTGGCTCTTAAGGGCAACATGGGTGCTCTTAAGTCAAGATCAAAGTGAGCAGGTGCTAGTTGTTCCTTGGAGCTCCAGAGCACAATAGGAAGAGATGTGAAAAATGAGAAAGCCATCTCCAATTTTCCATAAGGTTTCCCGATGACCTGGCTTCCAGGCAACAGACAAACTGGGTGTATGGTTGATATTGTTGGTTTCTACAGTGGATCATAAACAGGAATAAGTGCTCCTAGATTTAAGAGGGAGGGAGGGGAAGAAAGAATGAGGTAAAAGCTTAAAAATAACTTCTACTTACAGTGTCATAATTTTGTTCTAAGAAGTCTGCTACCAACACTTTATGTCTGGTTAGTAAATCCTAGAGAAAGAAGAGCCAAGTGAAACAAAATTATCATAGCTAATGAATAAATTTTAAAAATCTGTCTTTTCCTTCTAAGATTTAATAAGTGTATTAATTTGAAACATATAAAACTTTCAGAAGAAAATTTTTGTTTACATCACAAAATTATTTCCATTCTTAGTTTAAGATGTGAAATACAAGTTTGTTTCATGTTAAAAACAAGTGTTTGTTTTAAATTCATATTATTAAATTATAGAAATAATGTAATTACTAAAACAAATGATATTTTAGAGATGAGTTTACAGTATATTTCTTCAAGCCACAACTCTACATTGTACAAATGATATAACATTCAAATAAAGTTTATGATGATCTTTTAAAAGTGTCATTAATAACTAATCATTTTTTAAAAAAAGAATTCTGAACGAACTAAAATTATATCTCACAAGTTCAGAGATTTTAAAGGATTTTAACCTTTGGGTTTTTTTTCTTAACCAGTTTTAAAACAGAGTTGCCTAGCACGCTGGCAAGCACAAGAATGATAGTTAGCGGGGCCATTTCAGTGTCGTCCTGCTCGGGGGCTAATGGGCTGTGAATTACTAAGTAGCACAATGCACCCTTTCAAAGTTGAAGACAAGTAGCCTGATCTTATTACAGACATCACTCTCAGAAAACTGGACAAAAGCATAAAGGAACGTTTGACTGTCTTCAAATCACACCTAAATCATATCCTTAATTCACCTTAATGTGGAAAGAAAACAAGCCTCACCTAATTAATCCCTTTTATAAGCTTAGAGACTAAATACCCTGTTTAAGTATCATGCAAAATTTAATTAAAAACCTAACAAAAATTTTACAGTTTTCCAAAATAAATTCTTATACTTTAATACATATTTAATTAAAACTTCCTAGAAACATATAGAAGATACACACAATAGTCTCATAAAGGCAGCAGCAGCAATGGTAAACCCCACCTATTTCTATTTTAATAAAATGTAAAATATTTAAAGCATTTTGCATTGTAATTTTCAAGTTCAAAAACAGTGATACTGGCTATTAATTTCATTTCATATCACTTATTGTCACAACTTGATTGACATTGGGCCTGTCAGTTATACTTTTTTCCCCCATAGAACATTTAGCACTGCTCTGGAACTGGAATTTTAAATTGGAAAAACCACTTTCGCTGGGTTGCTCAGTTGTTTGGAGCGACATCCATACACCAAAAGGTGGTGGGTTGAATTCCCAGTCAGAGCACATACCTAGGTTGTGGGTTTGATCCCCAGTTAGGTGCATATGGGAGGCAACCGATCGATATTTCTCTCTCACATCGATGTTTCTTCTCTCTCTGTCTCCCTTCCTCTCTATAAAAATCAATAAAAAAAACCATACTTGGGTGAGGATTTAAAAAAAAAGGTTGGGGGGAACCCTTTACAGAGATTCATTCTGGGCCTGTCTGAAGTCAAAATTCAAGCTATTCCTCTATCGGGGACCCCTGAGAGAACAAGGTAGTCCTGCAGCATCCTTTGGGGTCCCTAATATTTTTAGGTAGATACTTGGGATACTTGGTTTTCAGACAATCCATTCCCTAAGGCTCCTGAGCAGTATAAGTGATTTTCTAAGCTGACCCAACACAGAATTGATGCACCATGGGAGTTTTCCACCTGCCACAAGTTGTCAGCCTCTACTGTGAGGCCCATGCTCTCCCCCTGGGCCCCAGGGCCTGCACATGCAGCAACAGCAGCAATACAAAAAGCACTTTGCCAATGAATGCTGCCTGGAAAGATTTTCTGTTTGCTACACATTAGTGTTACATCAAAGAGGAATCAGGAGAGAGTTCTGTTAGAAGCAGCTCCTTCAAATTCTAAGGGGAAAAAACTTGAAATAACTTAAAAATTCAATAATAGAAGAATATGGTAGGATAGAATTCCTCCTGCACTTACATATGATGGATACAGCCAATAAATGACTTGTATTTTCTCACACACATGCTCTTACACTTGCGTGTATATATTATATATTCATAGATATACCCTAACATTTATGTACATAATAAGTGTATGCATTGTTCTGGCCACCATGGCCAGAAGAACACTTAAGGAACTAACAGTAAAGGTAGAAAAAGATCCCTATTGTACAGGACAAGGCCCGACAAGCTAGCCCAATAATTACCGCTCCCCCTGAAGTCCTGTAGAAAAACAAAACAAACCAGTCACACTCCAGTCAAGCATAACCCCATTACTCATTGTAAGACATTGTGTTTAAATCATCCCTTTTCTGTTACTAAGGTTCCCCCCTTGTTTCATGTTACAAAAGCTGACAACCTAACAAATTATCAAATTATTAGAAGCCCCTTTACTGTAGTTGCCTTTGTAGTTACTGAGTATAAAATGTGGGAAGAACTGAGGGTTGGGGCTGCAGTTCGGCTCTTACATGGGTGAGACGCCGCAACTGTAGCCGCTGGCCAGCTAATAAAGGCTCCAAAAATTCAAACACAAACTCTGGTGGTCGTCTGTCGCGGGTCACACCAGAACATGCACAAAACTGGAGGGATTATACTATGTATATATAGTAAGGCCTCACTTAACATTGTTAATAGGTTCTGTGACTTTAAGTGAAACTACATTAAAACAAAACCATTTTTGCTCTGGCTGGTGTGGCTCAGTGGAAAGAGCCTCCACCCACGCACTGAAAGGGTCTCAGCTTCGAATCCTGGTCAAGGGCACATACCTGGGCTATAGGTTCGACTCCCTGCCCTGGTGGGTGGGGGGGCATGTGGGAGGCAACCAATTGATGTGTCTCCCCTCCCCCATCCCTCTCTTTCTTCCACTCTCTCCAAAAATCAATGGAAAAAATATCCTCATGTGAGAATTAACCAAAAAACCCCACAAAAAAACAAAAATAAAAACAATTTTACCATAGGCTAACTGACATAAACAAGTTCAGTTCCTATAGCATCTCATCAATGTTATAATGAAATGATGTTATTTGAGAACCTACTGAATATAAACAGTGCATATATACACATAATACATAGACTAATATAATTGCAGAATTATTATAGAGCATATAACTGAGTGGGAGAAAAAAGAAACTAGCTAGGATTTTACCCAAAAAGGAAAAAGCAGAAAATTGGAAATAAAAATAAAGTTCAAATTAAAAAAATTATTAGAAATGGTATATACTCTTTAATCCCACATCCTAACAATTCTGTTTGACAGGTCTAAGTTTTGCATAGTTTAAGTATTATGCTTTAAAAACAAATGGAATGTTGATATTTTAGTAGTGGGTGTAGTTAAGAGACACACACAATGGCATGGACATGATACTAGATCCACCAGCAGCAGCAGCTGCATTTGTTAAGGGTTTACTACATGCTGAGGGTGTGTGTGTATGCACCAAGTACTTTACACGTTATTTCTAATCTTCACAACTCCAGAAAGCAGAAGTATTTTCATCACACAGATAAGAAAAATGAACTAACTTGCTCAAGGACATACAGCTAGTCAGGTGGCAGACAGATGGAATTCAAACCATTTCAATTATGCTAATTCTCAGAGGGGGGATGAAAAACACTGTGGTTGTAAGAGATCTTTTTGGGGAAAGGACAATTTATAGACAATACCATGATGAAAACATAAATTAACAATGTTAAAATTTTAATGACTAAACTGGGCAATAGTCATTTTGGAGCTCAAAACGAGGTTTGTCTAAAAGGTTAAAAACAAAAGCCCAAACTAATATAAAACCAAACTAAAACCAAACCAAGTAAACAAACAAAACCACTAGAAACCAGCTAAAAAAAGTGACTTAAGGTCATTGTTACATATATTAACCATAAAATTTTGGAAAAATATAGAAAATTGACATTTCCAATGTTGACAGCATACTAGAAAACTTTTTTGGTTATTTAGATTTTAAGTTCAACAAAAAATATGCTGAAATACAAATCAACACATCAGATTTGTGATTCAATATTGTGCTAAAAATTAAATTGGGCTCAACATATGATAGCAGGACATTATTATCAAGTATAGTTTATTCTATTAAATGTTGAAAAATCTTTGGGAAAATTTCCAAAAATACATATTCATCTGTATTTGCTTTTTCCTGCATTAAAATCTATACTATGCTTATAATTATTTGTGAAGTCTTACTTATGCTTTTTTAAAAAAGGAACTGCCTTATTTCCATGACAGCAATCATCAGATAAAAAGGGAAAACATAGAACTACAGTATCTATTAATAGAAAACATCTCCTTAGATGCTTAGGCACAGACATTTTGCTAGAAAGAAATGGAATTATCCTCTGTGTTAAATGTCATTCTTCAAATCAGATGCACTAAGGCCTCTCTTACCATGTGCTCTAGATATATTCTATTGGGGATTGGGTTCATCTGTAGCCACTGTACCATTTTGTTTTGTGGGGTGAGACTGAGTGGCCTGTGAAATGAAAAGGATCCTGGGGTTCCAAAGCACTCTGAGCACAAGTCCATGTTTGCTGTCCCC